CGAGATAGACTACTAGTATTTCCACTACCCCCACCAAATTGATTTGATAAATTATTATGATGATGAAGCATGTTACCCTTTTGAGATAGACGTCCTTCAAGTGATTGAAATTTAGCTCGACGTGTTCGAAAACCTTCTTCATCCTATAGATACATATATATATCAACAACATTTAATTGTTAAAGAGAAAATCTTTGCATTTCTCTAAACTATTTATGATCATACATCTTATTAAATAGACTTACAAACAACAACAAAATCTGTCTGACAAAATGAATAAAAATTTAAAATATTCTATTTTATTTTCGAGTAAAGCTGAAGTTTAATTATATTTGAATGTTATCTCAAGTTATGAAAACCTTGAATTAGAATAAACATAAACTACTTTATATTTTACTCGAACAATAATGAGTGGAATGAACTCTCGTGGCAACCTCTTCAAATGTCATCTTCCGATTTCAATGATTTGTTTTTTTACTTATAGATAGTACTTAGCATTCTAGTGATTACTCTAAACGGATATGAATTCCTATTGAGACTTGAAAGAAATATTGAAGATTTAATATGTCGTCCTGTAAGACCACGGGTTTTTGGGAAAATTGTGGCTTTGATTTGTTCGTTTGAAGCTACTTCCAATTGGAGATTTCGCATACAATAGCTTGCACCAAGGAATGAAATTAATATGACCGAAAGAAAAAATGTCAAAGGAAAAATAGCAAAAAAAAACATGAAAAAAAGTTTACTTTGGGGGCTGCTGTCCATGTGAGATATACATATAGATATTAGCCTTCTCTTCACATCTATTCCACGCTCCATCCTTAACAGAGTAATTTGATGAGACGTGAAACATTTTCGAAATTTTTCTTTTTGCTCTTTTTTCCTTTGACACTTTTTCTTTAGGTTAAATTGATGCATACCTTAACAAGAATTTCAGCGTTTGTAGACTTTGTATTTTTGAGCTCTGGAATTTCCGAAAATATCAAGTCTACAAGTTCTAAAACCCTTCATACGAGCTAGTATATATGTGAAACCTTCAAATGACAGCGATTTCAAGAGGAAAAAACAATCAAAAACACGAATTTCTCGAAAACTTGTAGTCCTCTAGGAACCTTTGGTAGATAGGCATATTGAAAATTCAATAGTTTTATGAAGTCTCAATAGGAACTCAAATCCTTTTTGGCTTTTTACTATACTAATCTTTAGTATTTATCGGCAGAAAAACTTATTGAAATCGGAAAGAAAAATCTGGATCGGTTTCCTTATCAGTTTCACTCTATTGATATTTATATACAGATTATAACATTTAACATCGGTATTTAGTCATAGTGTTCTTTTTTACATCCTTCAAATTGTTACTAGATTGATTTGTACAATTAAAGCTTTATCCAATTCATAGGCATATTACGATAAAACTCTCAAACAACACAATATTTCGAACTATAGTTTGATTTTTAGTTGTCTTAAAGTAAAGTTTTACTCTATGAAAATTCTATTAAAATTGAATCTTATCAAATACACATTGAAAGACAAATATTTTATTGGTTTGAAATTAATTATTAAATCTATACTCTTTGAAAGCAAATTTATTGTTTAAATATTCTATAGAATTCATTTTCTTACTAATTTAACTGCTAATTTTCGACCACCATATTCAAATTGATGCATTTTTTCTACAGCACGTTTAGCTTCTTCAACAGTTCGAAATTCAACAGAACTATAATTAAAGAAAATTTCAGTTTTAAAATTAAATATTTTCATTTACACTTACCCACAACCAAGTGATTTTCCATCTCGTTCAAATACTTCTGTATACATAACTTCACCAACTAAAATTCAATCGAATAAAAAAAATAGACAATTTTGTTTTTTCAAAACAAATCAAACCTTCAGTACGAAATAAATCTTTTAATGCTGTCCATCTCATATCATAAGGAATATTTGATACATGAACTGTTTTTTCCCATCTAAATTCAAATAAAAAACAAAATCAGATAAACAAAAAATATTTTGTCAAAGTGAATTTCATACCGATATTTTAACCCAAGTTCACGATCAGAATATAAATTAACCGCTTGATTAAGTCGATCACCAGTATTACTACGATGATCATTTGAATTATTATTATTTGAATGATTTGATTGATAACGATTATTTCTTCTATCTTGAAAATTATGCGAACTATTATTTCTTGAAGATGATCGATAATAATGTCGTTGTGATGATGATTGTTGATTATTATGTGATGGTGATAGACGATTGGGACTTCTTGAACGTGAACGAGAACGATCAGGTGATCTTTGATTATCATAATCACTTTATTAATAAGAAAAAAAAAAACGAAAATATAAAAAAATGAATTCATATTTAATCAATTTCATTTACCCTCCTGACATGTTTTATTTTTTAATAAGCAAAACAAAAAATATTAATCTGAAAAAAGAAAACAAAAGATTAATCAAAATTTAAATTTTTAATCATGTTGTAAATTTTCAATTAGAATAGGATCAACATGATCAGCCATTTGAAAGTGAAATATTTTTGAAAAAAAATAAAATTGTCCATCTAAACTTTTTCGTATATTTTCTGCTTTACGAAAACCGTGTTGTTCACCTTCAAATAAAACATATGCAACTGGTAATTTTTTTTCACGTAATGCATTAACCATTATTTCAGCTTGACTTGGTAAAACAACTTTATCTTCTGTACCTTGAAAAAATATAATTGGTTTTGATAAATTTTTAATATGACTTATTGGTGAACGTTCCAAATAAAGATCTTTTTTAGCTGGATATTCACCAATTAATTGATCTAAATAACGTGCTTCAAATTTATGTGTATCACGCGCAAGTAATTCAAGATCACTGACACCATAGTGTGATGCACCGGCAGAAAAATAATCACACATTGTTAATGCACATAATGTTGTATAACCACCGGCTGAACCACCATCAATTGTTAAACGATTTCTATCAACTTTATTTTGTTGAACAAGATGTTTGGCACCAGCTACACAATCTTCTACATCATAAATTCCCCAATTATGTTTTAAACTATCACGAAATTTACGTCCATAGCCAGTTGAACCACGATAATTAACATCAAGTATTGCAAAACCACGTGATGTCCAATATTGTATTCGAAGACTAAATGAACTTGTTGTTGCTGATGTTGGACCACCATGAGTACGTACAAGCAATGGTGGAAGTTCATCTGAATTTGCTGGTATTTGATAATCATCATTTTTTGGTGGATAATAAAATCCATAAGCAACATCATCATCACCAGTTTTAAATGTTATCATTTCTGGTATAGATAAATAACGTGAATCAAATGTTAAATTCGTTGAACGAGATATAATTTTTTTTTTATTTGTTTCTAAATTAAATTCAACAATTTCAGTTGGTTTTATAGATGATGAACCAATAAAATAAACATTTTGATTGTAAACATGGACATAACGAATATCAGTATATTCTTCTGTAGCTGTTAATGGAATAAGTGTTTTTGTTTGAACATCAATTTTATTTAATTTAGCAATTCCATTTTTCCAATAAACAGTAACTATATTTCCATTTGAATCAAAATCATAATATTGTGTAGCAAATTGCCATGCAGGTCCACCAAATTCTGCTTCCAAATTATAAAGATGTTCTAATGATTGATCATTAATATTAGTACGATAAATATTCCACCAACCATTTTGATCACTAATAAAATAAATAAATTTTCCATCTGGTGACCATAGTGGTTGTAAAATAGATTCATTAATTTTTCCAAATAATTTCTTTTTATTAATTAATAAATTTTTTTCATTATTAAATTCACCAATCCATAATTCTGTTTGATCCCATGGCATATTTGGATGATTCCAACATATCCATATTACATATTTTCCATCAGGACTTACTTTTGGTGATGAATAAAAATCATAACCTGAATCTAATGTAATTATTGATGATGAATTTTTTAATGAAATCGAAATAATCGTATTTTGAACATCACTTTCATTTTGATGATTTTCATGTACACATATTAATTGTTGTCCAATTAAATCCATTGTAAAATCTGCATAACGTAATGATGCATTAGTTGATTCATTTGTTAATGGTACTGGTAAATTATTTTCTTTAAGATCTAATTTATATATACGTTGATCAACATAATTAGAAAAATAAATAATATCATTTTTAACAATATATGATCCACCACCATATTCATGAACACGTGTACGACAATTGAATGTGTTAGGTATTAAATCATTTTGTTGTTTATTTGAACGAAGTACGTACCGACCATTTTCAAATGGACGAAGTTCCAACCAATACAAATTTCCTTTTTCATCAACTTCAATTTCTAATAATGTTAAAGTATTTTCAACAATTAATGAAGATTGTATTGGTGATAACCAAGTACCATAAGACATATTTTTATTAGAATTTGATGCTAAACTATTCCAATATGGTCTAGAAAATTGAAATTTTAATATGATAATGATGATAATGATGATAAAATTTGTTGACTACCTGCTGCTGCGAAGACAAAGGTCTTGTTCCTCATGAGAAGTACATGTAAGGAAAGAATATTCATCATCACAGCAGTAATGGTAGACAATAAATGATATAAGTAATGATGATAAAGATAAAAGCATTAATATAAAGATGAATTTTTGATAAGCAGTGATAATAAAAAAGCATCAAATGAAAGTGAATGTAGAGGTAAAATTAGCGAATTGAAGTGTTTTTTTTTTGGTGTTTTATTTTGCATCTTAATATTTTTTGAATAAAATTTTGAATTATTTTAATTTTATTTGTTTCGTTAATTTTATTGCTAAAAGAATAAAACTTTCTTCTTTTAAATAAAGGAGGTTCGAAAAATGATTTTTCATTGGTTATTTCAATCAACAAATGATTAATAAAAAAAGGCGATAGAATGTTTGCTTAACGTTTTTCGTTTTTTTTTTCTCCTAAGATGCATTTAATCAAAGGTCAATAAACAAAATAATGAATAGTCCATCATCATTACCACCTCCATTTGATCCAAATAAGAATTTTCAACCAGTTTGGCGTCAAGCCTATCAATGGCTTAATCAATGTCATGTTTTATCACCTGAAGCTAATCGTATTTTAAGTTTACCAACAAGTACAATCGAAGATTTAGCAGTTATCTTAACTGATGGTTTGTTATAGAAATAAATTTCTCTAATGTTCAATTAATAAGAAAAAAAATTAAATAAATTCATAATTTATTTAGGTATTGTCTTATGTAATTTGCTCAATTATTTAGTACCTGGAATAATTAATTATACAGATGTTTCTTTTCGACCACAAAAAAGTCGAGTATGAAATAAGAAATAATTTTTATTTAATATAAATAATATTGATTAATTTAGTTTCTTTGTTTACAAAATATTCGTTTATTTTTGGATACATGTAGACGTGAATTAAATTTTCGTGATCGAGATCTATTCGATCCATATATGTTATTTGATAAATATAATTTAGATAAAGTAAAGTCGAGAACAAAAATAATAATCGATTATTATAATAAATTTCTATATATATATATTTTTTTTTTCTGTTTTTCTTATAAAAGATTACTGAAACACTATCAAAAATCTCACGATTAGATATTGCAAAAAGAAAAAATTTAACACCATTTCCAATCAATAGCCCAGTGAATTATGTTAATATGCCAAAAGATGACGATAATGGAATATTGCCAATTGTTCGTTCACTTGATGAAACAATACCTACACAAGGGTAAGTTTAATTTTTTTCTTTTTTCTTTTTCTAATTTTATTTATTTCATATATATAAATATATATATATATATTAATTATCATTATTCAGTACTCTTATGATGAATAATGATGAAGATGACTCTCGAGCACTTCTATATTATGCATCACCTGAAACAATCGTTTCTCCTGCGGAACAAAATGATCTTTATGGACGTATAATTGAGAAGAAGAGGGTTGGTGTCTAAACAAAGAATGCTTTATCTTTTTGTTATGCTCTGTTTTGTATCTATGCACACTCTTTTTGCTATATATGCTTTGTGTGATTTGCTTGTTGCTCTTGCTACTTTGTGCACCGTGTTTTATTTCTTTGCTAGACTACCTAAATTACAACGCCAATCATCTTTATGTCACTCATGTCGTTATGCACGTATTCATCATGTTCCTTCATTTCATACAACAAATATATCTCAAACAACAAAACAAGAATCATCATTTATAAAAGCAACAAGTTCAACAAATTTAACTGAATCATTATCATCATCATCACTTGTTGCTGCTTGTGCTGCATCAGCATTATCATCAGCTGCAGCAACAACACATAAAAATTCAAATGATTTAATACCATCATTAACAAATCATCGTTTATCAACATCATCTCTTCCATTTTCAATATTAAATGGTGATACAGGTGTTTACGGGTCACATATAAGCATCGCCGATGATGTTTATGAACAACTATGTGAAAAACCAAAAAAATCTGTTAGTTTTTTCTTCTTTTCTCTGCTTAATGCTTTGTACTATTAGTTAGCATTTTTATCTTTGTTTTCTTTTCATTGATATTATTATTATTATTAATGTAAATTTCTAAAAAATTCATTTTTTTTTCTTTAGGATACTCATAGAATATTTCTTCCACGTGATCATTGTGTAAAAGAATTACTTGATACAGAATTAAATTATCGGGATTCATTATGCCAAATAGTAACAGTAAATAGAACTACAAGATGTATTTTACATTCACATAAATATACATATAATTGCAATTATTTTAGCATTTTATCGAACCGTTACCATTAAAGCCAGATGAAAGAAAAAAAATATTTTTAAATATTTCTGTAAGAAATTATTGATATGTGTTTTTTTTTTTCTATTTGTTAAAATTTCTTTGTTCATTTATTTTTTTGTTTTCTATTATTAGGATATTTATGCATTGCATTCAGAATTTTATGAGGATTTACGTTCAGCTGGTCGAAATGAAAAAGGTCGTACATCACGTATTGTAGATTTATTTACAAGATGGCAAGATCGATTTCTTATTTATGCTAAATATTGTTCTGAATTACCTGATGCTCAAGAATTTCTTGATCGAAAAATAAAACAAGATACAAGTTTTGCTCAAAAATTAGAAGTAAATATTAATTATAGAAACAATTTCTTACGAATCTTTGCTTCTAATCATAGGTAGAATTAAGATTAAAAAAATTCATTTCACATGTCTTTGTTATGGTTACACGTGGATAAAAGGAAGACATATAAGTCGAACCACAAGCTCTGAGATGGTCAAGCTAATGTTCATAAGGACGTTTGATAAAATATTTGAGTAAAACTTTTATGATTATGGAAAAGTAATTTAAAAAAAATGTCGATTCATTTTTCAACCTTTTAAAGAAGCGGGGAGAAATTCGAAAACATTCAATTAAAATGAAGATTTTGTAATGCTTCTGATTTTAGTTTTTATATTTCTCTAGAATTTGTGAACCGAACTTTTAGAGGCGCAAAAATTAGAGTTGGGCATTTTTTGCAGCAATAGTTTTGGGAAAGGGACATTTCGCACCAACTTTTCATTACGATCTCTAGTAGCATATGTGCGTTACGATCTCCGGACGTATGAAAAAGGACAGGGTGTTCGGAATAACAAAAATCAATCAAAATTAAAAAAGAACGGGATGTTCGTAATGAAAGTTGTTCAGAAGATCGTAACGAACAACGAATATTGATTTTTAGAGAGAAAAAAGTGAAATTTGACCGGAGTTTGGCATGAAAATATTGGAAGATCGTAACAATAAAAACACGATGTTGGAAACTGTGTTCATGTTTGCTATTTTTTAAGATATGTTAAATAATTTACTAGTTTTTATTCTAAGATAGTACACAAACAACAGATGAGGATGTGAGAGTGAGGGTGAGGATGTGGATTGTGAGCGTGGGTGAGGATCAGTAAATAGAAGACGTCACCTTCACCTACATCTTCACACCCTCACTCGTCTAGTCAATAATTTTTGAACGTAGAGACTTTTAATTATATAGTACTTCATTTACACAGAGATTAGTGATAACAATTATCAACATTATGAATAGGTTAAAGCACAAAAGTCGCAAATATCTTGTACAGTTATCATAGCGTTATGTGTAGGGACAGAGAAAGATAGATGTTGTTTATATAATTACGAACCTATTGTATCAATCATTCTTGATTTTATAAAAACAAAAAAAGAAAGAAAAGTCTTTATGACCGTTGCGAATATTAGAATAAATCAGTTACGATCTCCTGGTAAATTGAATCATGAACATCCCGTCTTTTTCGTCCCGATTCTTAAACATTACTCCGCATATAGTAATGATCATTCCATTCCGAATTCCCAGTAACGCCTTTCCGATCTCCCTGTGTTTTCAATTACGATCTCCTGTTCAAAAAGGATTACGAACTCCCGGACACATGTCCGGGGTTCGGAATGACTTGGTGCGAAATGTCCGTCACCCATAGTTTCTTCTATCCGCTACATTACATTTACCGATTGTTTTCGAAGAAATCATTCTAGAATGGCTAAGTTCAGTTTTCCAGTTGGTTTTTCATAGAAATCGAGAAAAGGAACTGAATTAGCATTGTGTCTCTTACTAAAATACTCATAGTGAATACAAATGACTTACAGCAAACTACACATTGGTATATAATTTTATAGAAAATGCGTGCATTTTCATTCACAGCGTTTGAAAATATGTTTGCTTCTACTTTGGGTTATTTTTGATGTGCTGAAGTGTGTCAAAAATTAATTTACGAACCTCTAAAATGTCGGATCAAAAGTTCTAGAGAAACTTTAAGTTTATATTCGAAAAGATCACATAATTATAATTGTAACCGAATGCTATCAAATTTTTATAGGCTTCTTTAAGAGGTCGAAAAATGAACAAAGATTTTTTTTATATAAAAAAAAAAAGCCGGCTCGATTATGATTGAGTAATTTATTGTATTTGAGAACAGGTCACAGAAGTGGAAAGGAATATTGCTCTACTAAAAGAAATCATTTTTAATGAAAATTCATCTATAGATGATGATGAATCATGTAATGAAGTAGCTGAATACATGAAGAAAAATGAATTATCGAAAACAAAACAAAAAAAAACAGATGAACATGTATTATCGTAATGAAAAACGCATTCATATATGTATCTACAATTATGACGTTTGGCACAAACATAGTATTCTATTTCAGCGTTATCAGCAACAAGCAAATTCCATCGGATTTTAGACGTAGACAGACAGTAATTAAATTATCTTTTGTTAGAATTTGAGATTATCTCTTTTTTTGTTGCTGTTTATAGAAAAAACTAAATGGTATACTTTTTCATATAAAATACAAGTTTGAAAAAATGTACTTACTGTAACTGTGAAAGTATTTACCGAATGTCGATTAACGTCAGTTCGAGTTTAATTATAATATTTCTTAACTCATACAGGACACTAGTTGATAAAAAAATCATTACTGACTGAGAATTTCATTTTAATTTTTACATCGGTAATTAAATATATATATATATATATTGTTCATACTTCACATATTGCAAATGAAAAAAAAATTATGTATTTATTTTAGCAATGTCGTCAGTCAGCAGGTGAACTTGGTAAATTTCAATTACGTGATACAGTTGTTTTACCATTTCAACGAATTGTTAAATATTCATTATTATTACATGTAAATTGATTGATTTTCAAAAAAAAGGAAAATACATAATTTGTTTTGTTTCTTTTTCTTTTAGACAATGAAAAAAAATGTTCCATCAACCGATCAGAATGGTGATGCAAAACGACAATTATTAGAAAAAGCCGAACAATTAATGATTGTAAAAATAAAAATTTTTCGTTTTTTTCCGTTAATTAATTGATTTTTATTTAGGATGTTAATCAATATATAAACGAAGCAAAACGTGCACATGATAATTTAAAAGTTATAAATAATATTGAAAAAACAATCTGTGATATTAAATTACCATCAGATAGATGTTTACGTAGTTATGGTCGATTTATAGCTGATGAACAATTTACTGTTAGTGATGATGGACATCGAGGTGCAACAAGGTAAATGTTTTTTAATGTTATCATAAGTATTTTTTTTTTTATGTATTCTTTTAGAACTGTATTTCTATTTGATCGTGTTCTTTTAATATGCAAAGTTAAAGTAAAATGAAAAGAATTTTTTTAATTAAGATTTATTTGTTGATATTTATTTTTAGGGTTCGGAAAAATATACATTTCGTGCTGCTTTATTTATTCAAGGATGTCAAATAGAAGAATTAAAAGCAGCAAAACGCGAGGTTTATTTTTTATTAATAATAATCTGTTTAGACAAAAAAAGAAGTAAACAATTATTTTATGAAATTTTTAGTTCCCATTTATTTTACGTGATAATATGAAACATGAATATAGATTTGTTGCAAAAACCGAAGAAAAACGTACATATTGGCTTAAAAATTTACGAGATGCTATGTAAGAATAGAATAAATAAATAAAAATGAAAAGAAAAATTTATTTTCAATAAATATTTAGTGATCGATGTTCAAATTCAGAATTATTTGAAAATGGACATTATTTTCAAATGAAATCATTTGATGAAATAAATCCACGTTGTGATCTTTGCAATCGATATTTATGGTAAATGATATGTTATAATGAATAGAAATAATTAAAAAAGATTTCTTGTTTGTTCTTTTCTCTTAGTGGAATATTTTATCAAGGTTATGAATGTTCAAGATGTCAAAAGAGACTTCATCGAGAATGTATTAAAAAAATGGGATCATGTTTTCATCGAGGTAGATATTATGCGAATGAAAATCTAATAGATTCCAGAACTTATTATTGTTTTGATTCATTTCAATAATCATTTTACTTTTTAATCTAAAGATAGAGACATAATTGAGAACAATGGACAAGACTGACTTTACTGAACTGAAAATTTTCTTCCACTAGAGT